GGGGAGATTGTGCACACAACAAAAGTTTAAGAAGAGGTGTTCCCGCGGGGCCTTCAAACCCTGACCTTGTTTAAAACAAAAATTGTTCATTTTGCTACCCTGTTGAAGACAACAGACCTTACTTCATGACCCTGCTTCATTTCGCTTTGCATAGAGGATTTAGTAATTTTTCAAACCAACCGTCATGGAATTAGAATTACTCTTAGACAAAGATTGTTGGTGTTACAAATATAGACCACTCATCGCTAGCCTCCACACTCTTTTAAAGGCTTCCAGTCCCAAAAAACACGCTGTGCATTGTGGGACTTTTTTGGGGGACGAAATTGTCGCCATATTGAAATGCCTTCCCCAAAACTGTCCCACAATGCACTTTGAAAACCATCTCGAACCGGTTTCCAAGCAAGCTCAAAGTGGCGAATACATTAAATAGTGCTGTTATTACAAGACTAAAGAACTTTTTAAAACCATACCCTGTTCAGCGGCACATAACCGTTTAAGCCAAATAAAGGACTATACGGCCGGCAGCGCTCAGTCGGTTTTCTCGTTTGCACACCAAACTCTTTAAGTGCTACACTGATAGATTACAAAGAAACTCGATCCCCTTTGGGTATGCTTGGAGATCCAAATATATAGTCACTCATGGGTAAAAACGTTGCAAAGTTTACAATAAGAACGTAACAGCACTCACTCAGCCGGTTTTACAGAGCTATAGAGCACGTTTGCATAACGTAACTTAATGCGACTGTTTCCCGCTGTGTTTGGGAGGCTCTCATCCTGCCTCTTTTCGTGATTCCTTTACTCGTTTATTCACGCAAAGCCGCGAAGTTTCAAAAGAAAGAAAAACAAAAAACAAAAACTGGTTCGGAAAGATAAATGACCACGAGTACGTTCTTCTCGTTAATTTTCGATAATCAAACTTTGCCTGCAATGATTTTGCTCAGTTGGTCAATATTCAGTCCTCTTTTATAGCTGCTCCTAAGTTGTCTTGAATGGGCTCTGAAGTGTCTAAGATTTCTTAGGATACGAATTTGACGAAGAGAAATTTCTTTCTCGTTTGCTGGCTCTTCTATTCTAGGATTTCCATGACAAAAAGTTGAATTGTCTTTGTGGTTGTTCGTTAAACGACCAAGAAACAACATCTGACCTTTTTCGTAATTATTTTGTTTATTTTTTTTTTCAACTTTGCTGAATTTGCTGAATTTCAAAGTTCTCAATAAAAACTTGGTCATTTTTTCTTTTGCCGTACGGTCCTCATCATAGTGCCTGTTCTGTGGTTTCTGAGTTTCTTTTTTCACTGATTTTTTTTTGCTGAACATGGCTTTAATAGAGCTAAGAACTGGGTAACATTTACGAGCAAAATTGTTCACCTAAAAACAGAATAAACTAACCTTGGGCGTAGGCTCCTGCAGCTAGCAATGAGGATAACACGAAGAAAAGGAACCAGTAACTGGATGGAGCCGGAAACATTTCAGTGCTGCTGGAATAATTTCAACCGCACAAAAATGAATTTCTGGATACTTTGTTCTATAAAGCACGCGACAGCTGCACTTAAATAGCCACCCGTTGGAGGATCGGTCAATATTTCTCATCAATTAGCTTCTTAATGTCAAATATAGCTAATGACAGCTCAAAAAACATCATTTTCTGGAAAAAGACATCACTGATGAGCCATTCTGCGTTTAAATAAATCATTAAACCATTTGTGCGTATCCAAGAAGGGTGTACGCCAGTGTAAGAAAGCAAGAAACAATGCGGTACCGGCTAAGTGCAGTATATTTACACATTATCTACCATAACCCATTAGTCACAGTGACAACCGACGATACGCCAGGAGGAAATGACAACGAATGTGAAGGATGTCACTATTGAAACAAACAAGGGAAAGGAGAACCGCTACAAAATTAGTTCTTTCTTTCATGGCATGGTCGCTGCATCTAAGGGATCCAGGACAGTCTCAGATTCTGGACTTCACGCCATGGATTCCGGATCTCGGATTCCGGGTACTGGGTTCCTGATTTTTTTTGGAAGTGGATCGTTAATGGGATTTCGTATTTCTTAAACTGCATTCCAAATTCCGAAGCCCAGGATTTGACTAATGCGCTCAAGCTTTCTAGACTTTGGTGCAGTTTTCAAATTTTACATTTTTTTTCCATGGTTCGTTGGAGTGAAAGAAATTAGTTTATTATATACATACTGAGAAATACTCACCAAAAAGCTATGTCGTAAATTTTCGTACGCAAATTAGTTCTAGCCAATCAGAGGAGCGAACGATGGTTTTCACACGTGAAAAAAATGATACGTCCAATCAGTTCAAAGGTTGGATAGCGCTATCCACAGGATAAATCTCTATCCAGTGGATAGTGCAATTAGTTTTCCGAACACTTATCCGCTGGATAGTGATTAATCGGGTGGATAGCGCTATCCAACGTTTGAACAACCACGGCCAGGTTCTTAGTCGCGGGTTAACTGGGTGCAGAATGTTCTATCAAACCATCTTATCATAAATATAGTAACTGCACAGAATCATACCACCTGAAACTTCGCCGGTTAATCACAATTGCAACTGTCACATAAATTTCCTTGACCGTTGTGGAGGGGTTTGACTGTATACCCAGGGTGAATAGGGTGATTAGGGTGACTTGGACGACTAGGGTGACAAGGGTGACTAGGGTGATCAGGGTGACTAGGGTGACTTGGACGACTAGGGTGACAAGGGTGACTAGGGTGATTAGGGTGACTAGGATGACTAGGGTGACTAGAATGACTTGGGTGACTAGGGTGAAACCTTGGGGACAGAAGAAAGTGGCCGTTGTGGAGAGGTGTGGCCGTTATGGGTAGGTAGTGGGGTAATATGACATTATTTTTAGGGAGGGCAACATGTTTATGCATACTATATCTACGTTCATGCTTACTATATCTCTTAATGGCAATCCAATCACATATAATAATTATATGTATATATATATATATATATATATATATATATATATATCCGGATTCGGGGAGCAAGGGTGGCGCAGTGGTGAGAGCACGCGCCTCCCACCAACGTGGCCCGGATTCGATTCCTGGCGTCGACGCCATATGTGTGTTGAGTTTGTTGCTGATTCTCTCCCTTGCTCCGAGAGGTTTTTCTCCGGGTACTCCGGTTTCCCCCTCTCCTTAAGAACCAACACTTTCAAATTCCAATTCGATCTGGCACGCACGGACACGTTTCAACGAGTTGTTATGAACTCCTTAGTGCTCCGTGGGTAAACAAATTACAATTTACAATTTACAATATAGAGATGAAATACACAAAAAAACTTTAAATAATGATTTGAAACAAAATGTTAACGTGACAAAAAGAGAAAAGTTCTTAACATTCCCCACGAGTATCGTAGACAATGTTAATATGTTAATCGCAGCAAATAAATGGAACACAATCAAAATACGATTGCCGCGATTAATCATCAACACGCCATACGGGTCTAATTTC